TAAAGATTTATACCCTGTATTGGTTCTGGGAAGCTGGAGGGGGGGGAGGTTGTGGGGGTGGGGTTTGGGTAGAGGGAGGGAGGTAAACATTTGTAAAAGTTTTTTTTTCAAAATTTTCAATAAAAAATGGCAAAAAAACCTGAGTTTGAAGTTTGATATAATCATGGGTTAAATCTACCTATGCAAAACGAATGAAAACTCTACTAAAATTGTATATGCAATTATGAGATGTATATTGTATGTTAAGTCAACCTTTGTATATATTTATGTATGTATACTGGGTAATTATAATGTAATTATTTTAATTAATATAAAATAAATGAAAATAAAATTATTTTATCATTTTAATATATTTGAAAAATTCTCTGGAGCAATGAAAGATGTAGATTTCCCTTTTTCTACACAAATTTCTTCTTTGCCAAAATGTAAGAAAGAAAGATACTGAAGTCAGCAATGTTGATTAAATGTAGTTCTCTCATCTTGCTGGTGCCACCATTGTTGTTGCAAGTCAGCAATAAGTATTACAAATAAAATGGTGAATAAACTCTATACAAATGCAGCATTACAATTCTGTTCATGGCACAGCATATTTTGATAAGACATTATGAACATTTTGTCAATCACTTTTTAAAAAATTCTATCAGAATTAAAGCTTTTAAAAAAAGATTGGCTTTCCTTTTTTTCTCAATGTATTCACTTTTACTTCCTGTAGTTGGAAATTTGATCTTTGTTCTGTATGACTGTATGAACAAACCACCTCAAATTACTTCTTTCATATTCACTTTTATATTCATATTACACTAACTTATTGCATCCATTCTTGAGCCTCTCTTCCTTTTGTTTTAGCCCACACAATTCTAAAGCAACAATTCTCACTGTATTCAGCTTCCTTTTATGTGTAAGTATATATGCTCCTTATATATACAACTTAGTCTAATTAATAGAGGGCATCGTGGTGCAATGTTTTAAAGACCCTGGTGTTGGGCAGAGATGATTGGCAGTCAGTCTACAGCCCCATGTGGGGGAGTGAGCTCCCGTCATTTGCCCCTAGCTCCTCTCCAGGTAGCAGTTTGAAAGCATGTAAAAATGCAAATAGATAAATAGATATCACTAGCAGCATTCAATGAAAAAGCAGGAGTCAGTACCAGTCCTGCCCAGATGTGAGGTGAGGTGGAAAAAAGCCTGGATCACCCAATTCCCACAAACACTAACCAGCATTTGCAAAGCTAGTTTGGCTCCCACGCTATACTGTGGATAGTGCACATAAAGGAACAAAACGAACTAGCAACCTTAAGCTGCCAAAACTCTGGCTTTCAAAATAGGCTCAAACCTAGAATCTTCCTATTGTTTTTACACTACTTCATTTTTTCAATTTGAAACCAGTGATGATTCAACATTCTTTGTACTTTAAAGTAGCCTGCCTTAACCTTGTATTTAGTATGTGGCCTAGACAGCAACCCCCAGAATGCCTAGCTTCTAAAAATTCTGCAAACTGCATCCTCAACCCATTTATAGGATGCCAAATTGATAATAGCTGATATAAATAACAGAAAATAGTTGTTCCTGACTATCCTTGGTTATGAGAAAGTTAAATTGTAGTTTTCACTGAATGAATAATTGTCTGAAATTGCATTGCTGGCAGCTTGGTGGACAGGTATCCAAAATATTTTTTTTTGAAAACTTTGGAATTGCTGAGCTTGTTTATGATCTTGTCTTACACTT